AACGTCACACCTGCTGCCTCATGGTGTGACTCACTCACAGGATCATGCCTTCCCACGTCAGCTGATAAGTCAGTTCCTCACACGCATGCCCACAGTCTGACCTGGGTATTTCCTCCCTTGAGACTTTCCTGCCAGATGACAGTAAACTGAGGCAAGTTGACAGTTAGGCTAACTGAGAACAATTGGTGTGGTTCAGGATGTCATTGCAAACACAGGATGAACAGTGCCAATGTAAAGTGTCGTGTTCTAGGGCAGGATTTCCCTGGCTTACTGCATTTTAAATGACCATTTCCATTTTTATTCGGATGCCCTCACTGCCCCATAAACAGTCCCTGTGACCATGCTGTGCTCCTGCATTTGTACAGTCTTTACATGGAAGAAGACTTTTTAGTATCATAAAAAATGTCTCCCTACTGTAGCACGAATCTTAAAATGTCTTATTAATGAAAACAAACCTGGAGCCAGGTATTAGGGTGAATGCTGGAAGATCAGAGAAGCAAAACAAGCCACAGCTACCTCACCTCCCCAGTTCCTCAGCTGATCCTGTTTCTTCAGACTGAAAGCTTCTGTGTCCTCACCCACATGGTTCTCAGCTGAACTGTTTGTTGCTCAAAAGCCTAAAAGCTTAACCGGCTCTAGTTCCTGGTTTTCACCCCTTATATACCTTTCTGCTTTCTGCCATCACTTCCTGGGATTAAAGGCATGAGTCACCATGCCTGGCTGTTTCCAGTGTGGCCTTGAACTCAGAGATCCAAGTGGATCTCTGCCTCTGGAATGCTAGGATTAGAGGCGTGTGTGCCACCATTTTCTGGCCTCTATATCTAGTGACTGTTCTGTTCTCTGACCCCAGATAAGTTTATTAGGGTGCACAATATTTTGAGGAACATACTACCACCACAAAAAAACTTTTGTAAAAAACCATTTGGATCTCTTTTTTCTTCCTTTGGTTTCTATGGAATATTTTTACAACTTTCTGCTGTCTTCTTTTGTCTAAAATTTTAAAAAGCTTATAACTAATACAAGAAGAACTATATCCAAAAAGTATATACAATATATACAGTCAAGAATTACATTAACGATGTCTAGTCCATTAACATTTGACAGATTCAAATGAAAAAATTCCATTAATATATAACAATGTCCAGTCCATTAACATTTGACAAATTCAGAAAAAAAATTGTCATTACTTATCCTATTTAAAACAAGTAGTTCCTTTTTAAAAGTAGATTTAAAAATTGACCTTTTTATCTTATCACATCCATATTCTCTCTTTTTTCTTTTCATAAGAGATTCAATAATCTACCTTTTGTCATTTTTATGTCTTCCCTTTTTTCTTTTTAGAGTAGATTCAATGATCTATTCATTCTATTATTCCTTTATCTTTTTTCTCAGAATAGATTCAATGATCTACCTCTTATCTTTATTCTCTTCTTTCTTTTTTCTAAACAAAAACTCTGAATCTAATCTCCTTGTTCAGCTTTTTCCCTGACCATTAACAATTAACAGCTTGTAACCAACCATCATAAACAACAACAATATCCATAATTCATTAAACAACCAAAAACCTCCCATCCCACATCTTGGGAATGTGGGCATCATTTTCTTAAAATGACTTCCTGCTTTCTGGGAGGTGAAGGCATCTTTAGGGAATCCTGAAAAGAAAATTTTTGGGTTAATTGTCAAGTCCTGTATCATTTGTCCAGTCGCTGCATAATGAGAAGGTGCAGGGCTTGTTTCAAGTCCTTGTTCAAGTAGTCTGTCAGGCTGGATCATCTCAGCTAGCCATCTCAAAATTGTCCTGAGTAGTTTGTAGTGCAAAGTCAATCTTTCCGTGGTGTTAATTAGCTTAATGGCTTTACCATAGTCCATGTGGAATCATCTTTGTGGAGTCCCGGCTTCCTTTTGAAGATTCCAAATTTGCTGTTAGTCATGGTCATAGTTCCCTGCAGACTGTGTGTGTGTGTGTGTGTGTGTGTGTGTGTGTGTGTGTGTGTGTGTGTGTGTCAATCACAGTCTGA